GCGCTGTAGGTTTGTAGAAGCAATATTACATAATCGATCGTCTAAAGGCCAATTGGTGTAATTTGTAAGTTGACATCAGAGACCTTTATAGATAGATCATTTCAAAGTAATATTTTCTGTTCAAGAACCGGTATTGAAACGATTTATTCAACGCGCTGAGTTGTTAAGTATAAAATATAATCATAAATAAAATAATGATATGTAAGCAATAACTAACAGTAAAAACTTTTTAATATGTACAAAGTTAACAGTATTGTTGAAACACTTACAATTTTGTTGAATCAAAATATTACGATATATAAATGTGTAACATTTAACATCTTGTTATTAAATAAAATCGTTTATGAATCGAAAATGTCTCTTCAACTTTTCTATATTATTTTCTCTAATGAGATTAATTTATTAATAATTAGTATGTTACGTGGCCTCCAATTAAAACCATTTCGTATTAATTAACGTTGGATATGACTAAAAATAGAGAAAGGCTATACCAACTAGATRTATCTGCTAAAAATCAAACTACGCGATTTGATGCATAAATGTATATAATATATACATAAATATTTAATTATCTAGATGTGAACAAAAATTTTTTGATTTTTATGTTTTCTGGATAATGTTATGATGACCAAGAATAATTGTGGCTTTATTTATTGTGTCCTGTACATCGCGACATGTCGCAGTTGTGGGTTGGAGAATTTGATAGAAAATACATAAATATTTAATAGTGTTATGATTTTATTATTCTCAATCCTTTATACAGGTATAATATATATTATGTACGATAACTATAACATAATATTCGGAATATTTCAGACGTTCGCTCACGCAAACGATATCGTATACAAATTACATAATATTGTTTTCGATAATATTAAAATCAATATAGTTGAAAACATACAAGTTTTTTTTTATAGTAGTAGAGAGTATACTCGATATTGTGTGAATATATTCTGCTGCGGTAATGTAGGCTTGGGTAGTGCACACGCAAATATAACGGAGGTATAATAATAATAATATGTTTGTATATTTTTGCCTTTATATTATTATCACGTTCGATGGGATTATGAAACAATATTATTTAAAATCAGTACCTATTTCGCAACCGAGACGGACCTTTGGAGTATTATCTACGATGATATTCAATTTCGATTTGAAAAAAAGACTAGAAAAAAAATAAACCACACACAAATTCGGATGGTGCGTGTAATCGATACTCGCTGTTTGTTATACGACACATATTTTTATTTATTCGACGGTCATAAATATTATCGGTACACACGACGACGTAGTATTATAGTATTATAATTTTATCATATTCGTATTTCATCGTACGCGCGCTCGTATAACGAAACGTCAAATGGAGGCCAAAGCAAATGATAGTAATATTGCTGTAATGATTCCGAAATCGTAGTGAATAATATTATTATTTTTTAATGTAATACCTGTGCGGCCACGTTTCGGACAAAAACAGTCGTTGAACCAAAAAATCTATTGTGCTGYTAACACATAAAAAAAAAAAATTAAAATAAATATTGATTACAATTTTACACACATGACGCGTTATACTCGACACGAGGATTATTACATTTTCGTTGTAAAAATGGTATATTATGATAATAAAATAATGTCGCGTCTACGAGAATAATAATAATAATATTTCGGTCGCCGTTTGGACGACGACGAAGGCGGCGGCGACGGCGGCCGAAACCAGTTTTCCCCCTCGTTCCGCTGTAATAATGTGTTCATTCTCTACAGTCGCCGTCGTCGTTGGCCGCGAAAATTCGGTCTTAAAAACGATTTAATTCCAAAAAACGACATAAAAACAGAAGTGTGACGACGTCGTCGATTGAGAGCAAAATAATTTTGAAAACCGACACCGGCCGTTTCCGACCCAACCCAAACCCAGAGAAGAACCAACCGGCGGCGGCGGCTCTCCTCGATGTATCCACTCGATTTTTACTACAACGTTATGATATATTATTTTGTTAGCAGCGCTCGCACGCGCGCCCGCGTGTGTGTGTGAATGTGAGTGTGCGTGTGTGTGAGTGTGCGTGTGTGGGTATGTGTGTGTGAGTGTGTAAATAATCGACGACTGTGTATTCATTATTACTTTTTTCCTCTTGTCGGACGGCCATGGCGGCGACGCGGCAGCAGCAGCGCGCCACACACAACACACACACACACACATGCACACACGCATACACACAAACACACACACGCACACTGTGCTCTGCTGCGGAACCAGCGACCGAGACGAGTAGGAGAGGTGCACACAAAACGGACGMTCGACGAGCACTCGCCCGCCCCCGTCGGCACTGGCGTCAGTACGGCCGCAGAGCGCGTGGGTGTCGGTCCGGTGTGTTTTGCGTTCCGTCCTTTTTCAGATTTTTCAGCTGTTTTATTTTTCGGTACCATCACTCGC